GAGACGCCCCAGAGTCAAGGGTGAAGGTGAGGGAGGCCGAAGCCGACGCAGTACCTGAGAGCGCAGACTCACCAGTACCTGAGGACGCAGACACACGAGCACCTAGAGCAGCAGCGTCGCAAGCACCTAGGGCAGCAGCCTCACCAGGACCTAGAGCAGCAGTCTCAATGCCCGGATCGGGCGGGAAACACCGGTAACAGTCACCCTCATTACTAATAGACACAGCATACATGGCAGAGAGAATAGCATCAAAGTCAAGATCATAGATGGCAACACCCGCCCTAGACAGCTCGCCCCAGCGAGGGATCTCGGAGGCCTCCGGGAACTGGTGACGCCACGCGTCCGTCAGGCGGCCAAAGCAGCGCTGGGTGGGGTGGGCACCCCCACACTGCTCACCCGCACGGTCGCCAGTGCGCAAAACGTAGGAGCACGGACCAAAACCCCCACCCCGCTGACGCGCAGTGTACCACTCACGAAGCTGCTGAGGGGACAGGGTGTCACGACCACGCTGCTGCTGCTGGCGCGAGCCACCACCGGAGCCACTCCTCTGCGAAGACCCGCGACCAGCACCACCGCCACCCCCGCCGCCTCCGACGCCTCCGCCGCCTCCGCTACTGCCGCCGCCTCCGCCTCCGCCGCCGCCTCCACCTCCGCCACCTCCGCCACCTCCGCTCCCACCGCCACCGCCGCCGCCACCTCCACTTCCACTGCCGCCACCGACCCCTCCACCCCCACCTCCACTCCCACCGCCACCCCCACTCCCCCAACTGCCGCCACCTCCACCTCCACCGCCCCCGCTCGCTCCTCCAGCACCCTTGCCCCCCTTGCCCTTGCCAGAGCGGCGTCTCCCGCTAGGGGCAGACGCCGCACCGACCGACTCAAGAACAAGGAGGTCGGCCGCAGCAGCAGAGGCAACAGAGGGCAGAAGGGGGGAGGGGGAACACCCCTCAAAGATGGGGGTGCGCGGGTCACCACGAGAGGCCCCTACAGCGACTATGCTCTTCTCGGCCGCTAGGAGGGACTTCTCGAGGAGGTCAACAGTGAGAGTGGTGGGACAGACAGAGAGAAAGTGGTCCCTGACTACGCGAAGGGAGTCAGGAAGGCGAGTGACTATGTAGTAAAGAGTGATGTACATGGGGGGGGGGTTCCTGGCGCAGAAGTCAGGAGGGAGTGCAGCGCGGTAGCGAGTGTCACTAGTGCGGAGGTGCGTAATGAGGTCAGTGACTGTGGGAAAGGCAGTAAGATCAGGAAAGAGGTACGGTAGCATGAGACGGCTCAGTGCAGCAGTGGCAGGGGAGGAGTAGCGCGCAACTACAGCGTCGTACAAGGTCTGAGCACTCTTGTACTGACTAAAGTGCGCACGCTCGGAGGTAGGGAGGTGGCGACACACAGCAAGACGTGCAGCAGCGTCGCGCGTGGCCCACTGGGAGCGAACAGTGGCGTCAGCATTAGCAGCAGGGGCAGTGGAGGTGCCAGAGGTGAGGTCAAAGAGAGAGAGGCCGTCTGCCCTATCGCACTGTAAGAACAGCTGCAGGTCATCTACCCAGACCTCAAAGTCAATGGCCCTACCCTCAGCGTCAAAGGCGAGAACACTAGGGGTAGCCATGACCCTAGACGACTAGCAGCGCAAACAGTGGGGTGAGGACAGTGCAGTGAAAAGGCGCTGTGCTCACCAGACTGGGCAGGTCGGGCGGCCCTGAAGGAGGGCGGCGCGGCGGCTCAGCGGCTCAGCTGCTGGGCGGCCCGGCGGCTCGGCGGCTCCGCTGCTGGGCGGCTCGGCTGCTGGGCGGCTCGGCTGCTGGGCGGCGCGGCCGCTGGGCGGCTCGGCTGCTGGGCGGCTCGGCTGCTGGGCAGCTCGGCTGCTGGGCGGCTCGGCGGCTCGGCTGCTGGGCGGCTCGGCTGCTGGGCGGCTCGGCGGCTCGGCTGCTGGGCGGCTCGGCTGTGCTGCTGCAGGGCACGGGGCCGCAGGTAAGGGCGGCGGGGCCGCTGGTAAGGTGGCGGGGCCGCAGCAGAGGGCGGCGGGGCCGCAGGTAAGGGCGGGGCCGCAGGGAAGGTGGCGGGGCCGCGAGGAAGGGCGGCGGGGCCGCTAGGTAGGGCGGCGGGGCCGCGCGATGGGGCGGCGGGGCCGCGCGATGGGGCGGTGGGGCCGCGCGATGGGGTGGCGGGGCCGCGAGGAAGGGCGGCGGGGCCGCGCGATGGGGCGGCGGGGCCGCGCGATGGGGCGGCGGGGCCGCTAGGTAGGGCGGCGGGGCCGCTAGATAGGGCGGCGGGGCCGCGCGATGGGGCGGCGGGGCCGCGATGGGGCGGCGGGGCCGCTAGGTAGGGCGGCGGGGCCGCGCAATGGGGCGGCGAGGCCGCGAGGTAGGGCGGTGGGGCCGCTAGGTAGGGCGGCGGGGCCGCTAGGAGAGAGGCGGCGGGGCCGCGAAGACGGGCGGCGGGGCCGCGGAGACGGGTGGCGGGGCCGCAGTGCAGGGCCGCTAGGGCGGCTCGACGAAGTGAGGGCCCGAAGCGCGACTCGGGCTGAGCGCGCTTCGGGCAGGAAAAAAAAATCGATGTGGTGGGCCCTAAGCACAGTTCCCAAGGGGGAACCTGCTCGATACCATGAGATAATTTGAACAAGAATGGATGAACTATGAAATGAAGTGAGTACAAATATGAAACCCTAATTGGTTGTACCCCCTATGGGATACCCCACTATAGCCTACACAACAGCATAAGTTATAATGTTCTGACAAACTGTGCAAGGATAGGCTTGTGCGAGACGTGGTGCCGAATTAATGTTCGTTTGTCGTTTTGAACAAGGTTTCTTGGTATCATTCAAGCAATTACTATATTGTGAGCATGCCAGACATGGGTGGTTTCATTCGCAACATCTGGTAGGGAGATATGATGTTCCAAACATGCAAGCAGGGAGTACTGTGCAAGGATAGGCCTGTGCAAAACCTGGTGCCGAATTCATGTTTGTTTGTTGTTTTAAACATGGTTTGTTGTTATCATCCAAGCAAGTAGGACACTCTAAGCATGCTGGACAGGTTTGGTGTCATTCGCCGCACTTGGTAGGGAGATATGGTGTTTCAAACAATCGAGCAAGGAAAACTGTGCAAGGATAAGCCTGTGCGACACGTGGTGTCGTTTCGACGTCCGTTTGTTATTTTGAACAGGGTTTCTTTTGATAATTCAAGCATTCTAGTATATTGTAAGCATTTGGGACAAGTGGGGTGCCATTCGCCGCATCAGGTAGGAAGATATGCTGTTTTGAACGATCGAGCAGGGAAAACGGTGCAAGGATAGGCCTGTGCGAGATGTGGTGTCGTTTCGACGTCTGTTTGCTATTTTAAAAAAGCTTTCTTTTGATCATTCAAGCATTCTAGCATATTTCAAGAATGCAAGACAAGTTTGGTGCCATTCGCAGCATCTAGCAGGAAGATATGCAGTGTCGAACAGCTGCGGAGGGAAATCTGTGCAACGATAGGCCTGTGCGAGACGTCGTGCCGTTTCGATGTCCGTTTGTTGTTTTGAACAAGGTTTTTTATGATCATTCAAGCATTCTAGTATATTACACGCATTAAGGACAAGTTTGGTGCCATTCGCAGCATCAAGGAGGAAGATAGGCTGTTTCAAACAACTGAGCAGGGAAAACTGCGCAAGGATAGGCATGTGCGAGACGTCATGCCGTTTCGCCATCCGTTTGTTGATCTAAACAATGTTTTTTTTTACGATTCAAACATTCTAGTATATAAGCATGCAGGACAAGTTTGGTGCCATTCGCAGCATCTGGTAGGAAGATATGCTGTTTCGAACAACTGAGCAAGGATAGGCATGTGCGAGACGCCGTGCCGTTTCGACGTCCGTTTGTCATTTTGAACAAGGTTTTTGTTTATCAATCAAACATGTCACTATATTGCAAGCATGCTGGACATGTTTGGTGTCGTTCGCAACACCTGGTATAAACAATCGAGCAGGGAAACTGTGCGAGGACAGGTGTCGTTTCACCATCTTGTTGTTCTTTGTCTTTTTTTTTAGTACGAAAGATTTCGCAGGCTTATCATAATCACGAAACTAACATTCTACACCGAATATTTGTAATCACAAAACAACAGAAATAAAGTGTCAGGTTTATTAGTATCTGTAATTTTCCATGTATCCAATAAGCATGTGTTATATTCTTCACTGCACATATCGAACATCTGTATTAAATTGCAAGCATGGAGGCAGAAGGTTATCTGAACAGTATCGCGCCAAAAACTCTGAAAGCAGATTGGTCGTGCCTGATCGTGCTATCAGAGAAACGACCGTCACTGAAAATCGCGACGCGGGCGACAAAAATTCTGATCGCAGATTGGTCCCAAGCCGAAACCACTGCGCACGGACCACATTCGGAGCTGCGTCCCACATTTCGGTTCGGTTCCTGAGCTGCACCAGAACCAAATGCCCCGCAGAAGTTACTTCGCCAAACTAACTTGTTTGGTAGTAACTTCTGGGGGCCCGTCAATTTTGGGATGGAGTGTGAAGAAGGAAGGAGAGTGAGAGCGAGAGAGAGAGAGGGTTATAAAGAGTGAGAGAGTGTGTTTTGTGTGAGAGTGTATGTGAGCGAGCGTGTGTGTGAGTGTATGTGAGAGCGTGTGTGCGAGCATGTGTGGGAGCGTACGTGGGAGCGTACGTGGGAGCGCGCGAGCGTGTGTGCGAGCGTGTGTGCGAGCGTGTGTGCGAGCGTGTGTGCGAGCGTGTGTGCGAGCGTGTGTGCGAGCGTGTGTGCGAGCGTGTGTGCGAGCGTGTGTGTGAGCGTGTGTGCGAGAGTGTGTGCGAACGTCTGTGCGAGCGTCTGTGCGAGCGTATCTGTGAGCGCGTGTGTGCGAGCGTACGTGGGAGCGTATGTGTGAGCGTATAGTGAGCGCGTACGTGGGAGCATATCTGTGAGCGTATGTGTGAGCGTATCTGTGAGGGTTACATCAGCATCTCCGCAGGAGTGATGATCTCTTCTTTCCTTCTCCGTGGTCCAGACGTTCTTCTAACCCAGCAGGGAGTAGCATGGCTCGATCGCTCAACTTCGTCCTCCTGCTGGGACTCAGCACCTTGCTCCTCCTTTCACGTAAGCTCATACCACTCCCTCCTCCTCCTCCTCCTCCTCCTCCTCCTCCTCCTCCTCCTCCTCCTCCTCCTCCTCCTCCTCCTCCTCCTCCTCCTCCTCCTCCTCCTTCACTTAGCACAGGTGCCTGCCTAACCGTCGAATTCCCTCTCGCTTCCCCGCTCCCCGCTTTCACTTTTGCTGCCTTACTAGCTTTTCATCCTTCCCTTTTATTCCCTCGCTTCCTCTCTCCTCTATTTTTCCTCCGCTCCCTCCATTCCCTCCTTTTCCGCCCCTGTCCGCCCTATTCCGCCCCTTCTCGCCCGTCCCGCCCGATCATCCGCCCGCCTCTCCAATCCCTGGATCCGCAGCTTCGTGGCTGCTGCAAGGAGAGGTGAGTCGCCCCTATTTAATCGCTTTGATCGATAGATTTTACGGAAGGCCATTGAGAGGCCTGAAGCCGTCACAAACGAGCCTTTCGCCGAGTCAATTCATGCGTCATGTCGGATTTTCTCTGCTCACAAGTTTCGCTTCTGCTAGGCCATTGAGAAGCCGGAAGCCGCTGCCAAGCCTAACTGTTCACTATGTGGAGGGAAAATTTTGAGAGCTTACCATTCATTCATCTCCAGGCCTCCACATGCACCGTCTTTGCTGGGTAGGGAGGGAGGATGCCACTAGTGAGGCCCGTCAAGGCATACCACCCTATCCTTGGTTCTGATCCGTGTTTTCTGCATCTCTCTTCCATCTCTCTTCCCATCTCTCTTCCATCTCTCTTCCATCTCTCTTCCCATCTCTCTTCCATCTCTCTTCCATCTCTCTTCCATCTCTCTTCCATCTCTCTTCCCATCTCTCTTCCCATCTCTCTTCCATCTCCCTTCCATCTCTCTTCCATCTCTCTTCCCATCTCTCTTCCATCTCTCTTCCCATCTCTCTTCCATCTCCCTTCCATCTCTCTTCCATCTCTCTTCCCATCTCTCTTCCATCTCCCTTCCATCTCTCTTCCATCTCCCTTGCGTTGTCAACCCATCAGGCCGCCACGCAGATCATTCCATGGGATCTGAACTGGACGAAGCGCGTGCACCTCCCGCAGATTTTTATCGGCGACGATCTAGGTGCGTCGTCACACGCTTGTTGAGGCGCCTCAAAAAACACTTTTGAGGCGCCTAAAACAAAACTGTTTTTTATCGGCGACGATCTAGGTGCGTCGTCACACACACCGCGCTTGTTCTCTCGATGGCCTGAGTCGACTCAAAAGTTGCTCCGCGGATTTATATTGGCGACGATTTAGGTGCGTCCTCACACGCTTGTTCTCTCTCCTGTCTGCCGCACAGAAATTTCTGTCTCTCTGCTCTAGGGTTACAGTCAAGGGCTTGGGGATTCCTGCAGCGCACAGGCAAGTTTTTAAAAGCTTTTCTCACAAGCCACTTTCGTCACATGGACCCTTTTTTGTCAGGGGTCTGGCCTCTGGGCTTGTTTTACGTCGACTCAAAACACTCCTTTCGTCACATGGACCCTTTTTTGTCAGAGGACTGGCCTCTGCTCTGTCCAGGTGTGCTCACCTTTGCCTTGTATCACTCCGCTGTGCCCGGATGACTTTTGCATCGACTCAGAAGTCACCTTGCTTCTGGACTCTCCGAGTGTGTTTATCTTTCCCTTGTATCACCCCGCTTCGCCTGGACATCTTCTCTCAACGTCACACCACCGAGCTACATCACTCCACTCCACTACCACCATACCATGTGCCCCTCCCCAACGAGCTGACTTTTGAGTCGACTCAAAAGTCACTCCACCGCCACCATACCATGTGTCCCTCCCCATCGTATCCTACAGTGTTCAAATGGGTGGACTTGGCGTGGCATGATCTGTGGATGATGGACGATGAGAAAGCATTCAATGTTGAGTCTTCTATGCTCACCACTGCCCATACCTGATGCAATCTGTTCATTGTTTATATCCACGCGTCTCGCAGTGTTCAAATGGGTGGACTTGGCGTGGCATGATCTGTGGATCATGGACGATGAGAAAGCTTTCAAAGCCTGCGACTTTAAACGGGCAAAGCGCCTTCGACCCCTTGTTGTTGGCGGGCAGTACAAGTAAGTCCGGGCAGCACAAGTAAGTCCGGGCAGCACACGTAAGTCTAGGCAGTACAAGTAAGTCCGGGCAGTACAAGTAAATTTGAGCAATATCAGAAGGTCTTTCATTACAATCGAATCCAGGATTTTTATATATATATATTTGGTACTACAGGTTACAAGTGCCGGCTGCAAATGTCTTGATCCATGCCCATGCCCTCCTTGCCTACCGGTACTTGAATGCCTGTCGATTGACCCTAGGAATTCTTAGTCCGGTTAGTGAGCTGTCACAACCTCTTTGTAATACTCGACCTTAGGAATTTTGTTGGAGTCCTGTCAACAACACAGCAGTGCATGTAACAGGTAACATGCCATGCCTTATCAGTCAGTGGTGTGGTGTCCAGATAACATGATGCTCCCATACTTATATTTTATTTTCTTCAACGGGTGTAGTCTTCTGTCACGTTCCCTGGCGAATTGTGTTACCCAGCTACCATATGAGAGCATTCAAGCGAAGCCTGCTAAGACAAAACCACCCCCCTGCTCCAACACACCTCCCCACTCCCCACCCCCCTGCTTCCAACACGCCCCCCCACTCCCCACCCCCCTCCTTCCTTTTCCCCCATTCCCCTCCCCACCTCCCCCTCCCCCCACCCCATTGGGGGTTGCTTCCAGATATACGGTCACTAATATCGGTGGCTTTTATTTCGCCTCAAGTGGCCTAATGCAGTGTAATTATTACAAAGTGAAGCTTTCGCTTAAATTGATGGCCCCTGAATGTGGTCGGTTGTGTACTCTTTGGTAGTATACGGACGTGTCAAGAATGAAAGTGTTGGTTTGACTAAGGTTGGTTGGGGTACATAAACCTAACCCTAATAGTTGTACCCCTTATAACACACATCACTAAGACTGCAACATTTGACACACCCCCATAGTCTAAGTGAGGGGTGTCAAGCAAAACCAAAACCGTACGGTCACAAGACCAGTCACAAAGAAACAAAGCTCAGGGTGGATCACAACGTCACCACACACTCCGAGCACAAGCAAAAGAGCCACAAGGCCAGTTCAAGAGTTCACAGAGGTATATATAAAGCGTACAAACAAAGCAAGCAGAGAACGCAAGACTACGCAAGGCGAGAACCTGTGTCAACGAGACCTAATTGCACACAACACCTCTGGTGGTCACAAGGCGGAAGCGCCTTGATGAAGATGTCTGCAGTGTTGGCCTCGGACTCCATAAAGTCGAAGCGAGCCTGTCCACGCCTCTGCAACTCTCGCAGAAAAAAGTACCTGACGTTGATGTGCTTCACTCTGCTCTCCAATCGCAGCTCTCGACAGAGGAGAATCGACGCCTTGTTGTCAGTGAACAAGGTCGGTGCAGAGCTCGGCCGCTCACCAAGGTCGGTGAGCAAGAAGGTCAACCAACGCAGCTCCTGTGCAGCCATGGCTCCAGCGTAGATCTCGGCCTCAGCAGTAGAGGTCGAGACCGAGGAGGAACGCGTGGACCTCCACGAAACAGCTCCAGAGCCCAGGCTGAAGCAGTACCCCTGAGTAGACCTGTGAGTCTCGGCGTCGTCAGCGTAAGAAGAGTCACAGTGTCCAGTAAGTACAACAGACTGCTGCCCTCCAAGAACCAGCCCCACGCCTGATGTCGTCGCTAGGTACTTTGCCACCCTCATAGCAGCTGTCCAGTGAACTGGACGGTGTCTCCCTGGCACAACAAAGCAAGCAAGGATGCTGAGAGGGAAGGCGAGGTCCGGGCGAGTACAAGTCATCAGGTACATGAGGCAGCCCACAAGCTCTGCGTAAGGACCACTAGGCTCAAACGGCTCGTCAGGGAAGGGTCCAGTGAGTCTGTGGTCAACAGCAAAAAGTGTGCGCTGTACTGTGGAGTGCTGAAGCTCGAACCGCTGAAGGACCTGCTGCACCATGTGTGACTGTGAAAGTGTAATGGTGCGAGCGGCTCTGTCCCTGGTGATCTGCAGGCCAAGGTAGTGGCGCAGCTCACCAAGGTCAGTGCACGTGTGTCTCTTCTGCAGTTCGCGCTTCACGTCAGCCAAAGCAACCCTGTCAGCAGTGGCGAAAACCAGGTCGTCGACGTAGACCAGTACAAAGAACGGTGTGGAGCCACGCCGAACAAACAGCGACGGGTCGGCAGAAGACGGCTGGAAACCGAGGTCAGACAGGGTAGAACGAAGGGTGTCGTGCCACTCACGAGGAGCCTGACGGAGACCGTAGACCGGTCGCCTCAGCCTCTACTGGGTCCCAGGAGGGAAGATGCCGGTGAAGGCAGAGGGACGACGCAGCCAGACCTCCTCGTGTAGGCACCCCTGAAGGAAAGCAGTAGAGAAGTCGAGAGAGTGTAACTCGTAGTCTCTCTGTGCTGCTACGTGCAGTAACACCCGAAGAGTGGTTATCTTCGGGGTAGGCGCGAAGGTCTGAAAGAAGTCAACTCCCTCGCGCTGACTGAAACCTCTAGCCACATAGCGCGCCTTGAAGACCGGAAGAGATCCCGGTGGCCGCTTCACCCTGAAGATCCACATGCCATCGACTACGTTCGCCCAAGGGGGGGGAACCTCGTCGACGTAAGTGCCTATGGATCTGTAGGAGGCCATCTCTGAGTCCATGGCAACTCTCCACTGAGAGGCCCAAGGCCCTGACACTGCCTCAGCGTAAGTGCGAGGAGTCGGTATATCACGGGCGTCGGGGTCTCCCTCAGGGGCGAGCAGCATGGCACAGAGATGAGGGGAAGCGGCTGCCATGAATTCTAGCTCAAACTGCCTGTCCTCTAGGGCGTCACAGCCAAGGGCAGACTCACCCCCGACGGCCAGAGGACTGGTAGGAGGAGCAGCCACAAGACTGGTGGCGTAGTCAAGGCGGCGAGTAGAGGCAAACTCAGTGACTCCGGCAGTAAGAGCAGAGACAGAGGACAGAGAAGCACGTGGGTCGGTAACAAGAGAGGCGAGAACACGAGAGAGAACAGGACGGTACGTGCGGTAGTAGTCTGTGACAGGAGTAGAGAGGGAAGCAGTGAGAGCCGACTCAGGAGGAGAAGGAAGTACAGAAGGAGACGAACGAGGCGGACTAGAACGAAACAGGGCAGTACGAAGGTCAGTGAAGGGAACAGGAGACGAGTGACGAGCACGAGGAGAGCGACGCAAAGACCAAGTGTGAGAAAGAGGAGGGGACAATGGGGGCAGAGGAGGAGGGAAAACAGCTGGGGAGGGGTCAGGAGGAGGAAGCGGAGGACCAGAGACGGGAGGAGAGGGGGAGGAGGGAGGAGAGGGAGAGGGGAGACCAAGGGTCCGAAGACCAGAGACAGGAGGAGGAGGTGGCTGCTGCTGCTGCTCCTGCTGCGGCTGCGACCGCTGCTCCTCCAGCTGCGGCGGCTGCTGCTGCTCCTGCTGCGGCGGCTACTGCTGCGGCTGCTGCTGCTGCGGCTGCTGCTGCTGCTGCTGCTGCTGCTGCTGCTGCTGCTGCTCCTCCAACCGTTGTAGCTCCAGCTGCTGCCGCTCCAACTCTCTCTCCTCTCGCTCCACCTCCAGCTGCTCCTCACGGGCACGGCGTACACGGGCCTGGTGCCGGGTCGGGTAGGGGTGGGGGGGAGGAGTAGTGTCCGGAGCGGTGGTAGCCCCAGGAACGCTCTCTAAAGAACCAGTCGCACCACCCCCAGAGCCAGCACCACCAGAAGTAACAGGGTCCGTCCCAGGCTCTCCAGGTCCAGCAGAGGGTGCACCCCCAGTCGTAGCACCCCCAGGGACAGCTCCACTAACAGCAGCTCCCCGAAGACTAGAGTCTCCTGCAGTCACGGGCTCAGCTCCAACTCCAGCACCCCCAGAACCAGGACCTCGCACATGTACGCTCTCTGCTCCAACTCCAGCACCTCTAGAGCTAGCACCTCCAGGGTCCTCGCCACGAAAACCGGCTCCCGCAGGGTCTGCTGTAAGCTGGGAGGAGGACTGCGGGGAAGGAGGCTGCACTTGAGGGGCTACCGAGGGGGGAGGGGTAGCGTGGGACACACTTGACGG